ACCCCCGTGTGGAGAGGTGTGTACCCCCGTGTGGTGAGGTGTGTACCCGTGTGATGTGACAGATCTGAATCACCCCCTTTCTGGTCAGCAGTCCACATGTAGCACACCACACAAGCAGGGCTCCTCTGGCCCACGGCTTGTTCCCTACCTGTCCCGCGGGGATGTGCCCAGGCCACCACGCGATCGCTGGCTCCCGCACGCCCCCTTCGAAGGTCGTCTGCTTCCCACACAGGAAAGGGCCGTTACTGCCAGCTGTGAGAGAGGGGACATGGTTGACCCAGGCAGCCCCTGAGGCCACAGCCCATCTGGGGCCGGTACAGCAGCTCTCAGGAGACGTGTTCCCCTACCTCACCCCACCTATACCTGACCCCATCCCATTTCTATGGCCAGCCACGCCTGCCTCCCTTTCTTTCCCATCTGGGTTTACCCCCACCAACACCTTGTGCCAGCCCCCACCATCCTGGGCTCACCTGCAACACTACCCCAGGCCACCTCCCACCATCCTGGGCTCAACCCCCACACCGCCCCGGGCCAGCCCCCACCATCCTGGGCTCATCCCCCACACCGCCCCAGGCCAGCCCCCACCATCCTGGGACAACCCCCCCCCACTTCCCTGGACATACCCCCTCACCATCCTGTGCTCACCACCCCACTGTCCTGGCTCACCTCCATGCCGCTCAGGCTATACCCCCTTCACTGCCCTGGCCTCACCTCCCACCATGCTCAGACCCCCACCAGAGGCTTGAGGGGCCCCAGCACTCACCTTGTTTGGGGGCAGAGACGAGAGCCGCGCCGTTGTCGGAGGTGAAGAACACAAAGGTGCTCTCGGCGATGTGCAGGCCCCGGAGCAGCTGTAGGATCTGTCCAACGCTGTCATCAATCTCCCGCACGGCGTCCCCGTACCTGTGGGCCCAGAGGTCAGGGCACAGGGAACCGCGCCCCTGCCACACAACCGTCCTCCTGCGGACTCCCGGACTCACCGTCCTCTTTGGCTGGTTCCCACAAAAGATCTGGAAGCGTAGACGGGTGCGTGTGTTGCGTCCACGGCCCAGTACAGGAAGAAGGGGCGCTTTTGGGACTGCTGCCCCTTGATGAAGTCCAGGGCTTCCTACGGGCAGGTGAGGGTGCATTAGCCCTGGTCAGCCCCTGCCCACTGCCCCGACTGCTGCTCCCACTCTGCCCACAGTGACCCCCATACCTGAAGGTAGATCTGGGTGAGGTTGGATTCCCCTGTCTTCAGGTTAATTGGGAATTCTTCATAAAATCTGAAACCAGCAGATGCAGAGGCAACACTATGCAGATGGACAGAGACCAGCTGGCCTGCATTGCTGGCACCCACCTGTCCAGTGGGGGGGAAGGAACTGGTCCCTGTGGCCGCCTCGTGTTTGGGAACAGGAGTTGGAGGCAGACAGTAAGGATGCAATGAAGGGTCAGTGGCTGCCAGGGGTGAGATGACAGCTAAGGGCCAGGGTCATCTTGGGCAGTGTCTGTAACTGGTGGCTGTTATGTCCATGGTCAAGCTGGAGACCAGCAAGCTGCAGGGCGAGTGTGCGAGCACAACTCAGCACTGTCAGGACAAGGCAGCAGCAGACTTGGCCTCTGGGCCTGATGGGGACACACAACTCCCAGAGCCAGGATAGACCCCATCCCGCAGGGCTGGGCTGCCTGGTGCATGCTGGGATCCCTGTCCTGGACAGCAGAAGGCAAGCCCACTGCAGCCTGTCACCCTCATCTCACATCCGTCTTCCTGACCACTGAGGATGCAGCTGCCAGAATGAAGGTCCCTGTGGCCACACTGCAGACCTGATTACGAGCACAGACAGTGGACCTGGACAGGGCAAGTCATCACCAACTCTAGTGAGCTGCACGGAACCACCACAGTGACCTCACAGGAGTGCCCTGGGGGGCAGACCTCACCAGATGAGTGCACACAGCTGTGACTGAGCTCAGGGATGGCCACACTGGGGCAGAGGGGTCCGAGAGGGGACCACCTGTGCACCTTGTGGGGAAGGGCAGGGTCAGGCATTACCTGCCAAGCACCCCTAGCCCTGGTATAAGGACAGTGGGCAGGGGTGTGGACAGGGAGTATTGCTGACCATGCCCTGGTTCCTGTGCACAGGGAGGTGGGGCCGCAGTCGGGTGGTGGGAAGGGAAGCTTTGGGGAGCAGGTGGAGGTAGGGATGGGTGTTACCTGCCGACCATTTCCTTATCCTTATACACAGGGACGTTGGGCTTGGCCTTGTTGTCGTAAGGTCCAAAGTGACAGTTGGGGGACCCAAACCACTCGTCAAAGCCATGCCTCAGTGGGTGGAACTGGGGCCGGTGGCCCAGGTGCCTGAGGGGGGACGGAGCATCACTCGGGCCCTGACTGGACAAGGAGCTGTCTGCCGCCCTCCCCAGCTCGAGGTGGGAACAGCCCAGCCCAGAAGGGGTATCTGTGGGAGCCTGTGGCCGGTTCCATGTGTGCTGCACTGGGCGCCTTCCCAGGCCTGGCTGTGTCCCAGGACTCATGGATGCTCTCCGTGTGACTGACCACGAGCTACACATGAGGCTGCAGGCCCTGGGATTTGGGGTTTCCATTTCCTTCCCTTCTGGAAGATTACTGTGAGGCCCTGGGAGGCGTGGGGGGTCAGCGCTCACCATTTGCCCACGATCTTGGTGGCGTAGCCGGCCTCTTTCAGGAGCTCGGGCAGGAGAAGCTCCGAGTCGGGGATGCCCCCTACGATGTCCTGGGGGGTGTATGCTGTGGGGGCAGCACAGGTGGTCTGGGTGTGCAGTGGGTGTTGATCCCCCACCTGAGCTAAACGTCCAGACAGTGGTGGGAGCTGGCTCGCGAGTGGGACTGGAAAGTGCAGAGCCCAGGCGGCCCCTCCCGGCCCTCTGCCTGCTCAGCCTGCCCTGGTTCCCAACCTGCTCTGCACAACCCTCTATCTTCCAGGCTAAGGAAAGCTGGCTCCTCTGTGAACCTAGAGATCTTCCTGCTCCGCACCCCACCTCTCCCCTGTCCATGTCTGCAGGGCGAATGACGCATCACCTGGGGCACTGATGCTCTGGGGGTGCACCCTGAGGCTGGGGAGAGGCCTACAGAGGCCCCACCTTCTGTGGAGGGTTTGCAACCTGTTGTCACACTGCTATCAGAAGCCATGCTTCCACTCCCGAGCAGCCTCTGTGAGAGCCCAGAGCCATTCACTACATGGGGCCCCACCTGTGTCCCCCACCTCCTGGCAACCCTCACAGAATCCATGAGGGAGGGATCTCAGGGGCATACCATTGCGGGCGTGCCCGTTGGTGGTGTAGAAGCCATTGCGGATGGGCAGACGTCCGGTGAGCAGTGCCGCCCTGGCTACATGGGGATAAGAGGCAGATGTGAGCATGTGACGGTGTGACGGTCCTGTGCCTGTGACGTGTGCACCTTATCTGAGACGTGTGCTCTGCACCTGTGACGAGTGCGCCATGGCTGTGACGAGTGCACCATGGCTGTGACGAGTGCACCATGGCTGTGACGAGTGCACCATGGCTGAGACGTGTGCGCCATGGCTGTGACGTGTGCACCATGCACCTGTGACATGTGCACCATGGCTGTAACGAGTGCCCCATGTCTCTGTGTGTGTGTGTGTGTGTGTATGCTCTGTGGGTGTGACACGTGAACACCACATCTAAGTACTTCCTGGGTCCTCTGCAGGTGCCCGAGGGCCCTAGGTCAGCCACCACTGTTGTCCTGCAGCATGGGCTGCCTCCCAGGCCACTGCTCCTCTCAGTGACCCCAGCACAGCAGCCACTGGCTGGACGAGCACACAGGTCTGTCCTGTGTGTGCCCGTGGGAACATGGTGTGTCCCCTCAGTCTTCCCTGGACCTTATCTCAGCTCGTTCTCAGGACCAGTCAGTGAAATACCTGCAGACCCAAGTGCAAGGAAGTGCCTGTGCCCAGGGCCCCCAGGGCTCCCCCATGAGCCCCACTGCTCACTGCAGGTGCTGGACACTCCTGAGAGCCAGGTGACAGCAAGGAAAGGCCTCGGCCCCAGGCAGATGCTGACCCTGCCGTCCACTGACTGTAACTCACACGGTGAACACAGGGGGCTGGCCGAGTAGAAGCTGGTGAGTAGCATCCCTTCTGCGGCCATCTGGTCCAGGTTTGGGGTCTCTCTGGAAGGTTCTCCATTCACCCCTAGGTCACCCCAGCCCATCTGTGGAAGAACAGAGTGGCAGGTGAGGGTCCTTCTGACACGCGTCTCTCCCTGGGGCATGTCAGGGGGCACACGGGGAGCCACACAGGGCCATGGAGGACAGCGCTCACATGGTCAGCTGGCTGTGAGGGACCACGGCCCCTCCCTTCATGGGTCCAGGGTGCTTTGCTCGATCTTCTTCAGGTGCCAGGCCGATGTGTGCCTTCCCTCCTCCTGACCACTGACCAGCTCCTTCTGTCTACATCTCTATCCGCTACAGAAAACAGGGCTGCAGCGTCTGAGATGCACCCGTTACCTGTGTGACCATACAGCCCAAACTGCGTCTCGAGACAAACCTGATGTCTGAAAACCCTTCAGTCCACCACTCTGTAGACCACAACCAAACCTGTGTGCAAACTGGGGTGAACACCTGCGGGTGGACGGAGGAAATGATGTAACTGCTGTGGAACAAGGCCGGGCAGTGTCTCAAAGGCCAGGTGCCGGGTCACCACTGGCCCAGTGATTACACTCCTGGGCGTCCGAGAACCCACCCAAATAACTGAAAATGGGCTCGAGCAGACACTGGACACCACTGTCTACTGCAGCATGCGTCACAACGGCCCGACGTGGACACAACCCAGCGTCCACCAACAGAGGATGGATAAACGTGACGTGGTCCCCACATGTGGTCCTGCTCCTCAGCCATAAAGAGAACGGAGGTCGGAGGTCACGACACGGATGAACCTGGGTTCCTGACGCTGGGGAAGTGAGATGAAACCGAGTCCCCTGAAACATGTAGGAAACGGTAACGTGGACACTATATAATCACCCCCTCCATGACCTAACAAACCAGGTCATACAGGTCCTAAAACCAAGGCCCGGGAACCGAAGGGATACCAGCTGACATGCTTCAACTCACAGGTGCACCCCTAGACATGCTCCCCAGTCTATGGCAGGAATCTGAAGAACAGCTACCTGGATGACTGACTGGAAGAGACCCATGTCCGTTCCCATTCCCAAGAAAGGGGATCCAGCGGAATGTGGAAGTTATCAAACAGTATCACTAATATCACATGCAGACAAGACACTGCTGAAGATCATCCAAGCACAGCTAAAACTGCCAGAAGGTCAAGCTGGGTTTAGAAGAGGCTGTGGGACCAGGGATGCCACTGCTGATGTCAGATGGATCTTGACAGAAAGCAGAGAGTACCAGCAGGAAGTCTATTTGTATTTTATTGACTATGCAAAGGCATTTATTTGTGTGAATCGTAACAAACTATAGCTAATCTGGAGACGATCAGGAGAGCACTTAACTGTGCTAGAACTAAGAAGCTCTCTAGATCAAGAAGCTGTTATCTGAATGGAATAAGGGAACATTGCATGGTTGAAAATCAAGAAGGGTGTGTGTCAGGGCTGTATCCTTTCTCCGTTATCTATTCAATCTGCATACTGAGCAAGTAATTAACGAAGATGGAATCTATGAAGAAGAAAGTGACATCAGGATCAGAGGAGGATTCATCAACAACCTGTGCTATACAGATGACACAACTCTGCTTCTGAAAGAGAAGGTTTTCAAGTGCTTGTTGCACAAGATCAATGACTACAACCTTCAATATGGACTGCATTTTAACATTAGGAAGACAAAGGTCATTGAGCCAATGGCATCATTGCCTGTTTGTTTTCTTAGCAGTCCATGGTGTAGTCAATACTCTTCTCCAGCATCACAGCTCAAGAGCCATCACTTCACCTTCTATCATTCCTGTCCTTGGAGAGGGATGTCATGCTTGGGAGGGACAGTGCAAGAGAGGAAGACCCTCAATGAGACGGCTTGACTCTGACTGACTGGGGTAATGGGCGTAGGTGTGTCAGAGGCGAGAAGGTTGGCTCAGGACAGAGCAGGGTTCAGAGCTTTTGTACATGGGGTCGTTGAGTCACAAGCCACTTGGGTGCACACAGACACCACCACCACCGATGAATCCCACATGGCCCAACCGTATCAAACATCTAGAGCGGATTCAAGCACAGAGACAAAAACTATTACCGGGGTGAGGGAGGCAGGATGGGGAGACCGCACTGGGGGTACTGAGTTTCTAAGGAGCCCTGGTGGCCTCGTGGACAACGTACTGGGCTGCTAACTGAAAGATTGCCAGTTCAACTCCTCAGCATCTCTGTGGGAGAACGGTGAGTCATCTCCTCTGACAAGTATTTAGTCTCAGAAACGCCACAGCGGGTGGCCACGAGTCAGAACTGACTGGACAGCAGAGGGCTCGGGTTTGGGTTTGTACAAAGGGTGATGCAGCACAGACGACGGGTCACTGCCTTTTGTGACCTCCTTTCCTCCCTGTGGAGGTGCTGTGTGTGTGTAATCATCTGTGTGCCTCCTGCCTGCACGTGCAGGGGAAGTGTGTGTGCACCTGGACAAGCTTTGGGGGTACTGAGGAGCAGCCAGCCAGGAAATCTTCCACAGCGCTGAGCTTCTGACTGGGTTTGTTTTTTTTTAAAAAAATCTTTTCTATTTTCTTCAAGGTTTTTTTGAGTCATATTATTTGTAATGTTTCTAAAAAAAAAAAATGTGTAGTGACAAGGGAGGCTCCAGCAGCCAGGAGAAGGGGAAGTGGCAAGCATCTCCATGAGCAAGAGAAGGGCGCCCCTGACTCATCCCGGCGCCTAAGAAAGGCAGATGCAGCTCAGGGCCAGAGCGCCGGGTCTTCGACTGCTCACCAGGAAAGGCAAACTCGGGCTCCAAGCCTTTCAAGACGCAGGGGCAGGAGCGCGGGGCCTCGGAGAGGTGGGAGACCTTAACTTGGAGAACCAGCTTTCTCACCTGGACAGCCTCTGCCTTTAGCTCTGAGGGGCAGGTTCCTCAGGAAGAGGAACAAAAGCTCCACATTTCTGCTTCCCGATTAAAGAGAAGACAGACAAGCTGTGTGCAGCTCTCTGAGGGACTGTCCCCAAGTCTCGTGTTCACTAATCCCAGCATTTTTTGAATAAAGGTAGACCAGTCACAGCCGGCTCACCGATCCCACCTGGAGGGTCGCCACCAGTTGCACCAGGGCTGGACAGGTGGCCTTCCAGCTCCTCTCTGCTTCGAGAGATGTGACCCTTGATCAAAGTCCTCAGGGGGTCTGGGCAGCTGATCCAGGTGAGATGGGGTCAGGTAAGCCCGCAGGTCAAGGGCAGGCCAGGACGGGGCCTGCCAGCTCGGCACCCTTCCTGCCCCGACCCCAGGCAAGGCGGTGGGCGAAGTGGACGCAGGCGTGGGTGTCCGCGGCGGGTCCACCCCCACCGTCACGTCCTTCCCCTCCAGGAGCACGGGACGGGCACGGAGGGCAGCTGACCTCTCGGAGCGGCGGGACAGGCGTCGGAACCGGCTGCCTGCGGCCGGACGCGGGTCCCGCACCCTCACCACCACCCCGACCCTTTGCCCCGACTCACGTCGTCCATGACCATGAGCACGATATTGGGGGGCTGCGGGGCGCCCACGACTCCCAGCCCCATAGCGCTCAGCACCAGCAGCCACCATCTCCTCGCAGCGGCAGCCACAGCCATGGCCACTACCGCGCCGGCCCCGAGGACTGGGCAGCGGCGGGACCCGGGCGCACTTCCGGCCAGCGGAGCCCGGCGGGGCCGCAGCCAGACCGGGCGGGGCCGTGGCCAAGGAGGGGAGCGGAGGGTGCTGCCTCGACCAATCAAGTGAGGGCGGATCCAGCCAACCAATGGGAAGAGGGGCAGCGTCTCTTGAGTGACAGGGGAGGATGGGCCCAGAGGGCAAAAGACGGGGCCGAGCCTGTCACGTTCCAGGAGGGCGGGCTCTAAGACTGCCGAGTGATAGGCTATCGGCCCGGGGGCGGGGCCTCAACCTGCAGCGTGATTGGTCCGCAGTCACGTGACGCGGCCGAGCCTCGCAAGATGGCGGTGTGCATCGCTGTGATCGCCAAGGAGGTGCGTACGCCCGGGTCCGGTGAGGTCCTCCGCGGCTTTCCTGCCCCCGCCCCGTACTCGCCGGGGTCCTCAGCTGGACACCGGAGCCTGGAGGCCAAGCTTGCGGGCCCTTTCCAGGCGGCCTTCTTCCTCGTTTCTGCACCGGCTTCCTCCCTTGGCTCCGAAGGTCCTTTAAGAACCGAGCCGAGACAGGTGGTCGTCTAGCTGAGACATATGCGGAGCCCTCCTGGAGCAGGGCCACCCTGTAGTCCCCGAGCCCCTCCGTCCAGACTCGCAGGCCTCGGGCGCCCCTCGAGCGCTGGGCCTCCCCGTTTTCTCTCCCATCCTCGCGCCCAACCATCCATCAGAGCGCTCTCTTGACACTTCCGCACGTGTGATGCCATTCCACTCCTTCGTCTTAACTGTCACATCCGCTCAGTTCAGCCTTGGCGGGAGCACCGCTGTCCACGCCTCCTGGCATCCCTTCCCCACGCAGTGGATTGCGCCCGCCCCTGCCAGCAGTCTCTTCAGGAGGATAATTGTTTACAGGAGGCCTCTAATAAAACTAGTGTCAGCCTGTTTGCCCCTTGCAGCCTCTGACCCTGGCTTGACACTGGCAGGGTTAGTTGGCCTCTTACCACCTACCCCACACTCCCTTCTCTGTAACACGCGCTTCATTTCCCATAGAAAGCCTTTTCTGAACCCTAAACTGAGTAGGGTGGTCGTTTACTTGTGCCTACTCACACACCGGAGGGGGTGGCCCCTGGCAATGTCAGTGCCCCACACAGACACCTGGTGCCCTCCTGCCATTTGTTACCAGCGCCATTCATCAGACTGTAAGCCCTGTGAGGGTGCAGTGCCTTGCACCAGGCGGACAGGTCTAGGGAGCCCTGTGGGAGTTAGGCGTCATAAGACTGAAGCTACAGCATGAGTGGTTTAGTAAAGGTCCCTCTGGGTGTGTTTGCAAAGGGGAAGCTGTTGTCAATAGATGACATGTTAGAGAAATCACAGATGTTTGTGGAGGGAAGGGCTAAGGCCCACATGAGGTGATAGGGTTGAGGCAGAGTGGACCCGGGACAGCTGAGATGCCCAGTGCCTGGCTCAGTTCACATCTGTTTTTCTGAGTCATCCTCCCTTTCCGTCGTCCTGCTGAAGCCTTTTTGACAGCAGGCAGTACTGGCCACGGGTGAGAATTAGATCTACTTCGGAGACACAGGTGCACGGCGGTGTTTAGTCAGCCGATCTGCTTTGGCATGTTGCCCCTCTCGTGTGGGTGGGCGTGCCAGGTGTCCTGAGGTCACCTCAGCAGACCATGTCCTTTCTTGCAGAATTACCCTCTGTACATCCGCAGCACCCCCACTGAGAATGAGCTGAGGTTCCACTACATGGTGCACACGTCTCTGGACGTGGTGGATGAGAAGATCTCGGCGCTGGGGAAGGCCCTGGTGGACCAGAGAGAGCTCTACCTGGGTCTGCTCTACCCCACTGAGGACCATAAGGTGTATCCTCTGGTTGAGGAGCCCACAGGGAGGGCTCCACACCACAGGGCTTGCATCTGGCCTTCACTCGTCTTCGTTCTCAAGTGCTGGGATCACAGGCACACTGCAGGTTTAGGCTTTAGCACACAGAATCCGTTTAGGAGGCTGGAAGTCCAGATTTCGGGGACCAGCTCCCGTGGAAGTTCTTCCTCTCTGTCTCTGGTGGTCTTGGAATGAAGGCCTTGTTTCCTTCTACGCCTGTACTCTGAGTGATTTTCCTTGGAGACCACCTCAGGGAGCTTCCTAGTGCTGAATCCTGGGTCCACGCCAGCCTTCGATGGTACTGAGGCCCCCACCTCAGTGTGCTGTTCTCTCCTGTGAGGTGAAAGGTGTTACAGCCCGCACACAAAGCGTGAGCATGTCAGCACCGATGAGGCTGATGCAGGATCGAGTAGGGTTCAGGTCTGTTGTTCTGAGGAGCACTGTGCATAGTCGACACCTAACAGTGAGGCAGAGTCTCTGTGTAACTGTTGGCTTTGCAGTTAAGACTGTGGCCAGGGCTGACTCCGGAGTGAGGCTTGAGTAGACTGAGGGTCTGGGGAGTCGGCCCCCGGGTTTGAGTCAGATGGAGCTCACTCCTTGTCCAGGAAGAGACCAGAACCACACCAAGTGACCTGCACAGAGCGCCTGAGGTCCCTCCTATGACCTGAGAGTGTCACATTTTTCTGATGTGTTTTTGGGGTGGTGTCACGGGGACACGACCAGGTAAGCCTTCTCTCAAACCCTGTTCCCACGTGGTGGCTGCATCTCACTCACTGTCCAGTAACCCCAATGTCAGAGCACGCTCCCTAACCAGATGCGCAGGTATGGCTACGTGACCAACTCCAAGGTGAAGTTCGTGATGGTGGTGGACTCCTCCAACACAGCACTGCGTGACAACGAGATCCGCAGTGTAAGTGCCGGGCAGGTGGGCGGGGTGCCCGGGGGTCGGTCCTTGAGGAGGGTGGCAGCACAGTGGTTAAGTACTTGCCAGATGACCACAGATCTGTGGTTCAGACCTCTAGCCAAGACGCGGCAGTCGACTTCTGTAACTGCAGCCTTGGGGACCCCATAGGGCAGTTTCACGCTGACCTTCGGGGTCACTACAAGTCAGAGTTGATGTGAGGGCTATGGATTTGGGCTTGGTGGTGCAGAGGTTAGGAGCTTGGTGGCGCACTACAAGGTCCATAGTTCAAACTCACTAGATGCTACCTGGGCAAAAGAAGAGTCAGTCTGCTTCTGTCAAGAATGTGGTCTTAAAAAAAAAGAATGCAGTCTTGCAGCCCCCGCGGGTGGTGCTGCCCTGTCCTGCAGGGTTGCTGGGAGCCGGAGTGGAGGTGGAGGCGATAGGATTCAGTACCGGGAAGGGTGCATGTGTGAGTGGGAGTGCTGGTGGGTCTCTTCACAGATGTTCCGGAAGCTGCACAATTCCTACACGGACGTCATGTGCAACCCTTTCTACAATCCTGGGGACAGGATCCACTCGAGGTGAGCACAGGCGGACGGAGGGGTGCAGAGCCCTCACAGGGCATCCAGGTGCAGCCAGCAGGCTTCCGGGGTCCCTCACAGGGGCAGGACCCCGCCTGTTTGACTGCGGCCCTGCCAGACCCACCCTGCCGGTTCTGCAGTGACTGGCAGTCAGGGAGGAGCCACAGTGGTTTTAAGTGCTGAGCCACCATCTGCTCCCAGGAGAGTGATGAAGGCGGTTCACTTCTGTGTGGAGACGGAACATTGGGGGTGGGGCAGGCTCAGGGCGAGTCACTGGATTTTGACTTTTAGTCTAGAAGAAACTTTTAACTGATCACGACAGCCAGCCGGGTGGGTTGGTAACTGGCTTTTGGTTTTTAAATGGAACATCGAGGGCTTTTCTTATTGTGGGGAGGATATTTTTGTTAGCAAAGAAAACAAGGAGGGCTGGACACGTAGTGCGTAGCCTGTGGGGCTGCTGACTGAAGCTCAGCGGTTCGAGTCCCCCATCTGATCCTGGGCGGTCTCCTCCTGTGAAGATTTGCAGCTCTGGAGTCCTGGGGCAGGGGGCGCCCTCAGAACAACATGAAGCAGTGGGTTCCGTTTCATTTGGGGCTCAGGGAACAGTGCAAGAGGGGGTCGCTTGGGCAGCCATCATTGCTACCGCACCTGGCTCCTTCCTAGAAGGTGGTCTGCCCTCAGTAGAGATAGCAGCCTTGGAAACACAGTAGGACACTTCTGCGCTGTCCTGTGGGGTCCCTGTGGGTCAGTGGACTGGCCATTGGACACTGCAGGCATTTCCCAGTAGCCATGGGACCAGCCCAGCCTGATGTGGGAGCATCATAGAGCTGCCGACCCCCTGCCGCCCCTCCCTGGCAGTCACCTCTCCTGACCACCTGCCCTCCCCTGAACTGCCCTCTGACCGCTCGCCCTCTCCGCAGGGCCTTCGACAGCATGGTGACGTCCATGATGATCCAGGTCTGCTGAGTGCAGCCTCCTGTGCCCGCCAGGGTCACTCGGTATAGAAAGTACCACGCGAAGTGTCCTGCTCCCACCCAAACACGGCACCCACAGCAGACTTGCTTTGACCAAGTCAGTAAAGGTCTGTGATGCCAGACTTGGTGTTTTCCTTCCTCATTTGGGGATCAGGACAGAGGCAGGAGTCACAGCAGGAAGACCTGGCGGTGCTGGGCATGGGAGGCAGGGGGACCCTGCAAAGCGGACTGCAGACAGCTGAAACTGTGACCACAGAGTGTGGCAGGACATCGAGGACATGGGCTTCCTCTCCCCTGCCCTGGGTGGTCGGTGACACCAGGACTTGGGTCTGCAGAGGGATAGGCTGTGCACCCTGCTCTGGGGAGGCCTGCTTTCTTCTGGCTGATGGACAGCGTCCAGCAGCTGGTTACACCTGTTGCCAGCCTCCTTGTCCCTCTGCTCGGGCCTGCCTGGCTGTGGACCTGCCTCACCCCACCCAGACCATTCCACTGGCCACCACCTGTTGTCCACACCCGGTGAGCAGCTTTCCTGCTTTCTGCGGCCAGAGCTCCAGATGGGCCCTTGCAGACCTGGCCCTGCCCACACACCTTGCTTCCTCTACACCCTGGAAACGTGCTCAGCCCAAAGGTCTTCGCGTGGGGCTCAGGCCTGATGCCAGCCCCGTGTCCTGTCACCTCAGTGGTGAGCAGGTGGGGCTCCTGTGCCAGGCCCTCTGTACCGCCGTTGTCCCTAAGCTGTGTCCACACGGCCCTTCTGTCCCCGCATTGTCTGTACCAGTCTCCAAGTCTTCGTGGCTCTGATAAGGACCCGGATCGTTGGGTTTGAGGACCCCTGGGGTCATCCAGGACCATCTGCCTGAGCCCTTCAATGACCTTGTCTCCTGGGCTACATTCACGACTTCCAGGGGTCAGCACACGGCATGTTTCAGGGGACCACTTTCAGCTCATCACATGGTGGGGGCCAACGTGGAGCCAGAAGACAGGGCAAGTGTCATGGGTTGAATGCGTCCCCCTCAAAAACATGCATTTAGTGACCCCCAAGAGCTGATACCAAGTAATTGTAAGAGGGTAGCGGGGTGGGTATGTGGCACAGGGGCTCCCTGGGGTGGGTGCACGTGTGACCTCTCCCTAAAGGTGAGTGGAGCACTGCTGTGAGGTGGGGGTGGTACGGGGTCCCCAGCTCCAGGAGCGTGCCCTTTTGGACCCGGGTCTCTGGGGAAGCTCCTGGACACTGCTGAAGGCCGAGACTCCGTGGGGCCTCGGGGGAGTGCTGACCTTGGAGCTGACGAGATGAGGTCGTTCCCCAGAGCTCATGCACAACCCACTGCCCTCAGGTACCGACTCTGAGCTGCCCCTCCAGCGGGTTCTCAGGTGGTAAGTCGCACAGGAAGTGTTGCCCATCTCCCTTGGAGCCGCTGGATTTGAACTGGTGGAGAGGAGTGGCCACTGTGTTAGTAGCACAGCTCCCTATGGACAGGGCCCCCAGAGCGCTCTTGCCCCAGCACCCTGAGCTTGAACTTGTAGCGTCCTGAACTGTAAGGCAATAAATGTGTGTCTGTTAAAACTGTGGGCTTGCGGAATCTTCTAGCAGCACAAGAGAACCAAGATGCCAGGACCTGGGCTGTGAGACAGGTGTGGATGGAGAGCGAACGGGTGTCCCAGCCCATGGGTGGCTGTCCCGGCTTCAGCTGCAGGAGGGACCAGGGGCTGTGGGCCGAGTGTTAGCTCCGATGCCCAGGACAGCCTGGGGTGGGCACCTGCCTTCCTGTGACCAGACAGAGATGATGGAGGTAAAAAACCCTGACTGTTCACAGGCCACCCCTCAGTGGGCCTCCAGAGGCTTTAAAGGTCATGGGAGACATTGTCCATTTCTTCGAGCCCCTGGTGGGTTTGAACTTTGAGAGAGGCATGGCCGCAAGGTTAGTGTGACCCCACACACGCCACAGCCCCTGAGCTCCCCCAGGAGGAAGAGGGCTGCCCACACGGTGACGTTGACAGTTACCCAACGAGATGCGGACGTTGCGGTGAACAGCTTGTCTGTGACACGGGGCTTGAGGGATGGCTGACACATGCCTGCAGACCCTCTTGTCGCCTGGAAGAGGCTCCGGCCCTGATGGTCAGCTTCCAGAGGTCGCCTCCCTGCGCCTCTGCAGTCCACACCAGACAGGACTCACATGCAGGATAAGAGGGAGGCCCGGTACCGCATGCATTGAAAAATGACTCAAATTTAATAATTGATGTTTACCAGGAAGACACAACACACATTTCATTTTCTTTAAAACAAGGTGGCTGGAGAGCCCCGAGACGCCCCCAGAACCTGCCCACCGGAACTGTCCATGCTGCCTGCTGCAGCCCAGGTGATACTCCTCGGTGGTACGTGTGCCCCCCGAGGGCCCCACCTCCCTCCTCCACCTGTGTCTCCATCAGCTCCCAACACCCCCCCACCCCGTAGTGAGTGGTCCCGAGTGTACTAGGTGGTGAGTTCCATCCACAGCCCTGCTCGCAGGTTCTTCTTCTGGTCAGTACAGGGAGGATTTCCACGCTTGCTGCAGAGAACCGTGAGGTCGGGGCCTTGGAGGGGACCCTTAGGGCCGGGACCACAGTGGGCAGCTCACAGGCACAACTGACCGTTTCAGCAGCCCCTGACCTAGGGTCGAGCAGCTCTTAAGCCCAAGGGATCCAGCTCAGGACCGTCCCCACCGGGCCCAGCCCCGACTCACTGGCTTAGCCCCCAGGGCCTGAACTTGGGCCCCCTCCCGATGCCGCAGTGGCGGAAGGACCCCTCCCTGGCACTCGGATGCCCCTTCAGGCTCCTTCGGTCTGTGGAGCTGATCCCTGGCGTGTTGGTCCTTTTGGGCTGCACCTGGGACAACAGGCAGAGTTTCGCGAGGGGCCGTTTCCCTGTTCTCCCCTTGTCCCCTCCTCCACCCTGCACCGAGCCAAGGGCCAGCACTGCCTCAGGGAAGTCTTCCTGGGTTTCTTTGTCTCCTGAGGAAGATTCCAAGTGTCTACCAAGCCCGGGGACAGGGCAGTGTGTAACACCCCTTCTCACACACACACTTTCACGTTCACATGCATACATGCATGCGTGTACACCTTAAGTCCATGGCCACCACCCAGACCCCCTTGCACTCCAGCCCTGAGCCCCTCTCTCTGAGCCGAGGAACAGGTTTGGTCTGCTTCCAGCTGCCCAGGGCATGGGGAGGGATGGGGTGCTGAGCATCTCAGGACGCCCGGTTAAGCCTAAACCAGAGGGTCAACCTCGTTCAGCCACCCTTCCCTGCATGCAGCAGGATGCAGCTGTGGTCGTGAGCTCTGAGGCTACTTGTCCTCTGGGCCTCGTCTTCCGGGGCCTCCCCGCCCCTACCTCCACAGGAAGACCAGACACACGCCTTGATGACCCGATCCTGAAAGACGCTTTCATCCAGCTTCACAGCAGCCTGGGCCCAGCTCACTGCAACATAGTCTCTGTAGGCATAGCTGCTGGTGTAGAGGAGGATGGGGGGCAGCTCAGGTCATCCTGGCCCTGAACCAGCCCCAGCCTCCTCCATGCATAGCCCAGCCCCTTGGCCTGCAACACTGACCCCTTCGGGTGTTTGGAGAATTTGTCGCACAAGATGGTGACGCAGTGGATCTCCCCACTGGGATGGAAGTGAGTCTCCAGCTCGTCAGCGGTAGCCCCGTAGTCCACCTGTGGACAGTTGTGGGTACTGGGCCCTTTGGGAGACGGAGGGGCTGCTCCTCCCAGCCCCACCTCACCTTGGCTTCCCCAGGCCTGGAGGTGAGGGTCAATGGAAGTCCAGACCTGGGGGCAGCCACTCCCTGAGGGTTTCATGGTGGACTTTGGGGTGAGGATGCTTCAGGTGGGCCCCCCAGCTCTTGCTCCTGCTGAGAAGTCTGAAGGCCAGAGAGACAGCCCCCACCCTTCCTGGCCCTCCCATTTGAGCCCCTAGTCTGGCCACCAGGCCAAGGTCCACCCGAGACTCCACAGTCCCTGGTGGGCAACCCCACCTCAAGCCCACTCATGTTGCCTACATAGGTGGATCTGTGGTCAGCCTCCACCTTCTCCTGGGGGTTCCCTGCAAGGAGAGTGGACTCAGGGCAGGTCCAGGAACCCAACTTCTGATAGTCACATTTCAGGGCTGTTCTAGAACACTCCAGGCCAGGCCCAGGGCTCAGAGGGACCCAGAAGACCTTGGGCTTGTCTCTCACCCCCTGGACTCCTGCCCCTAGCTCCTTAGGCAGCAGGCAGGTCCCAGGTGAAGGGGAGCCACGGGGTGGGGGGCATTCCCACCTCTGTGTGCACCCAGGGGAGCCCCCAGGCCCTCCACTCACCAGGCCTCCTGCGTGATTGATGTGCCCCCAGCCTACTTCCTGCCCCATGGCTTCACTTTGATGGCCTCCAGCTCCTGCAGACACAGTGCCCAGCTCTTGACTCCACTGATGCCCAGGTGACTGTAGAGGCATCCCACCCCTAGACCCTGCTGAGGTCCAGTCAACCTTGCAGCTAAATACTCAGTTCCTCTGGGGCCTTAGCTGACCACAGCAGTGCATCTCCTGAACCCCAGCTCCACTGAGGTCACAGCCAACCCTGAGTGGTGCCTGGCTTCCATCCCCTGACCTTGTCCAGGACCAGCTGGCTCTGAGTGGCGCCTGGCTCCCACCCTTTAATGTCACTGAGACCCAGCTGATACATGGGGGCACTCAGCACACTGCTGTCAGTACCCCACAGCTGAGTAGGGTGCAGCTGGCCAGCCCTGCACTCGGCCTGTCCTGAGGGTCACTGGCAGGACTCTGTCCTGAGGGAGAAGGGCAGGGGCAGGCTCTCCTTGAGCCCCCTCCCATAGCCCACCTGCCCAGGGATGGAGTCTCACCTGCAGAAAAGACCAGAGACACACAAGGGAGGCCCCATTCAGAGCACACACTCCACCTCAAACCTGTGAGGTGGGCCATGGCCCCCAGGGGAGTGGGGAAGAGGCCCAGGAGCCCTGAGGGGGTGGGGGCCTAGGGATCCCTTGGGGAGGGGAGGTGGACAGTGGTCACCTGTCCCAAGCTAGAGCTGCTGGGGGGAGGGGAGGCTCTGGAGCAGTAGAAGCCCCATCCCAGGTTCCCCCTAAGTGGAGGTGGAGCATGTCACTGGTCAGATGACCAGCTGTCACCTGGTCAGGCGTCAGAGCCAGCGTCTCTCTCTCTCTCTCTACGAGTGAGAGAAGGAAACTGGCATCTTCATCGTCCTCTTCTTTCTTCTCCCTGCACTCTGGCCCTTCAGAGGGCCTCTGGGACCCATTCCAGGCCCCCTAGCCCTGGGCCTCAGGGTCCGAAGCAGCTCTCTGGAGCCAGGCCTCCGTGGGGGCAGGAAGAGATGGCTGCTTGGGAAGGACCACATGAGCAGTGGAGCAGAAGGCGGTCACCTGGGGGCGGCGTCTTAAGTCTCTCAGCTCAGCTACTCCCACTTGAGCCCCGACCCACCCTCCCTGGGGCTGCTCCTGGGCCCTCAGGGTCCTGCCTGGCTTCCCTCCCTCACCCCCCAGGTGCTGTTCTGAGAACCACTTAAATCAAGCCCTGCCCCCTGCACCGTCCTGAGGGGTATGTGGCTAAAGATGGAATTAAGTGCAAAGCAGTAAGGGGGGGTCTCAAGAAAAAGGCCCTTGTACTGCAATCCCTGAGGTGCATGGTTCAAATCCACCAGATGCTCTGCTGGAGAAGGAGGGTCAATCTCCTCCTGTACCAGTCAGATCTGATTTGATGGTACACACACATACACAAAATAATAATAATAAAAAAAAAAAAGAAAAGAAGAAGGCCTTCTGGCCTGGACTTCCCGGGTAACCTTGATGGAGCAGTGGTTAAGTACTGGACTCATATATAGAAGGTCAACTGTTTGAACTCCCCAGCTGCTTCTCTGCTCTGCAGAGTCCACGTGACAGCCACAGGCCTGGGTTAAAGGAAGACGCAGGGCCCTCCCTGGTGGAGAAATGGTTAAGCGCTTGGCTGCTAACCAGAAAGTGGACGGTTCATATCCACTGGCTGCTCCCGGGGAGGAGGATGTGACCATTTGCTCCCGGAAAGACGGATGGTCACGGATGTCAGGGTGGACGGGCCAGCAGCGGCCAGGCTTGACTGTATTCTGCCCAGCTCTGTGACTCTTTTGTCCTCTCCCTTAGTGGCCATCTTTTCCTGACCTGCTTGCTTGTGGATGGAATCCAGGTAGTGAAAGGGGAGAGGTGGCCCCAGGTCCAGCGAAACCCCTGCCCCCAAAGAGGCGGAGCCAGCCTAAGCCCTTGTCCCCTGAGTCCACCCAGTCAAGGAAGGGCAAGCTTCCAGCCCGAGGCCATTTGGGGTTCTTCTGCTTCCACGTCCTTGGACATGGGCTTCCCTCTCCTCTCATCTTAAGTCCCCACCTCCTGCATGTGTTACCCAGCACCAGGGGCCCAGCCCCCTTTTGCTGTCTGTGCGGCTTCCTCCAGGCAGCCTGGCTGGACTGCTCCTCTTCCCTTGGGTTGCCTGGACTTACCTGGGTAGGTTACTGGTTCTCAGGGCACCCCTGGCAAACCAGAGTGCCCAAGAGCAGAGCCTTCTTCTGCCTGCTGACTGAAGGGGAGAAGGGCTCTGCCAGGCTGCTCTGCCCAAGTTGGGCCACCAGTTCCTATGGCCTCAGGCCCGCTACCAGCCTCTGCAGTGGAAAGATGGCTTTATGCCTGGTCTGGACGAGTCCGCCAAGGCCTGGCTGGGGCTCTGGCCAGCTCCTGGAGTGGGGAGAGGCTTGCCCCCTCTCGTCTGCTCCAGAAGCATCATGTCCGCAGCTGAGTATCAATATCAGTCATTGCTCCTGCCCATCCCAGTGAGTGCAGAGTCCCCTGCCTGGTTCTAGACAGTGCTGCCCCCCGTGAGCACCCTGACTTGGACGCCATGCTCCCCCTCACGGTGTGGGATGTGGTTCCAGGGACATGCGAAGCCAGCAGACATGCCCCACCCTTGAGGGGAGCAGAGCCATCTCTGGGCTCAGGTTTTGTCTGGCCCCTGATGGCACACACTTTGAGGCGCCCCCAGAGATGAGGACTGGAGCTACTCTTGACCCATCGTCTTCACCTGGCATGACCTGTCTTACATTCATTTGCTGTCAGTCTCCTCACCTCCACCTGTAGCTGGGGCCCCACAGGCAAGGGGCTGGTCTCTCCAAGGTGGGAGGGGTCCCCACAGTAGTACCTGGTTGTTAATGGGGGGCAGAGCCACATGACAGTCAGGTTTGTTCTAAGGCAAAGCAACATCCAAAGACCACATGGCAGAACACCAGGAGGACACGAAGGGGTCCTTGCATCAACAGATGGGGCCAAGAACAGCGGGGGTGCTGGGCTCACACTCTAAGGACCCTGTTACAGGAACACAGCCCAGTGTGTCAGGTCAACTCCCAGGGAAAATAGCAGTGAAATTGGAAAAGAAATGGGAGCCCCCAGACGTGCCTCGTGCCCCATTCCCACTGGCCCAGCACCAGCAGTGGTGTGCAAGCTGAAGACTGGCAGGGACCCCTTGACGTTTCATTTTGATAATGAAGAAACTTAGCTTAAAGCCCCACCTGGGCCACTGCAACATAGGTTCTTCAGGACCGCGTATATCAAGGGACAGCAGGACCACGTATGTCAGGGGACAGCAGGACCGCATGTGCCAGGGGACAGCAGGACTGCAGGGCAGAAGGTATTCAAGATGGAGTTTACTAGAACATTGAGGGAACAGCACCTACAGGACACAGAGACCATTGTCTGAGGGCAGGGGTCTCCTGCACTCCCCTCTCCCGGCACACATACAACCAAGGGGAGTGCTGCTCCCAGCATGGGGTTCAGAGGCTGGTATGGGCAGACAAGGGCCAGGAAGGTGCTCCAGTTGGGGCACAGGGGTCCCAGGACTCTCCCACTCTCAGCCCAGTTCAGACTCATTGGAATCTGGTCTTTAATGAACCCCAATTCAGATGTGCAGGGCTCACCTTCAGCCATCTAGGGCCACAGGAGGAGGGGTGTGTGAGGCTGAGGTGAGGTCGATCAGAACGCCCACAGTGAGGAGTGGGCACCAGGCCAGGGCCTGGAGACACTGGCTTCTCTTCCTTCACCTCACCCTCATTTCCTGGGGTGACCCTGGGGACAAGGAGGAGAGGCCCCACCCCACAGTTCTCTCTCACCAGGAAGTGTATTCATACTCCAGCCAGTCAGAGCCTGAGGCCAGGTGTGGGAGAGGCTGCAAGGCAGTTCCTGGCCAGTGTCCATCACATGCCAGTTGGCTAGACTGTTGCTAGGCCTTTGGGCTACGCTGCCCACACTGCCTGCAGCAGAAGTGCCTCTATCCTAGGCTGGACGCTGGGATAGGACAGGGTCCTCATACAGCTCTGGTTGGCTCGGCAATGGAAACTGTCAGGGTATCTCCTGACTGAAGGTTCTGTGGAGGAAGGAGGATGGGAAGGTGTGGAGGGATGGGGGGTAGTGGATTGGAGGAGGGCTGGTTGGCTTGATGACCAGGTGGGTAATGGAGGTGATAGATGGACAGGTGTGGATGGATGAGAGGATGAATGAATGGAGACAGAAAGTAATAGCTTGGACAGAGAGATGATGAGAGAGACAGAAGACAGGATGGATAAATGGATGAACAGGGACAAGCAGGTGGATGGATGGATGGATGGATTATGGATGGATGAATGGGCAGAAGGGTGGGTGGGCAGGTGGCTGGCTGGGTATGTGGATGAATAAATTATGGATGTATGGATGGATAGATTGATGGATGGGTGAGTGGAAGGATGGATGGATGGATGGATGGATAGGTGATGGATGGATAGATTACGGATGAGTGAGTGCATGATGGATAAATTATGGATGAATGGGTGGATGGATGGATGAGTGAGTGGACTGCTTGTGGATGGATGGATGGATAGGTGGGTGGATAGGTGATTATGGGTGGGTGGGAGGATGGATGAGTAGATGGTGGATGGGTGGACACACGGATGGATGGGTTGACAGACAGATGGAGAGATTGTGGGGGGATGGAGAGATGGGTAGGTAGGAGAAGGGATAAGTAGTTGAATGAGTGGGAAGGAAGATGCAATGGACTGGAAGGTGGATAGACCAAGAAGATGATATGGAAAAAAGAATGACTAAATCGTGAGTGGGCTTAGATAGAGCAGTGGGCAGAGAGCACGGTGGCCAGAATATTATGGGTCAGAGAAGCAGGGTGGCTGCCAGAAATCAGACTCTTGTGTCGGCTTGGGCATCTAATTGGGAAAATTGGCAAGTAGGACAAAATCAGGGGGAGCTCTGATCCTTCCCCACCATGTTGCTGGGATAAAACCAAAACCAGTGCAGGCCTCCCTGCCCAGCTTCCTGTCAGGGAACCTCTCCCTCCCGGAGGTGGTTCCCCTGGCCTGGAGTCCATCCCTGCCAGGGCCCCTCAGAGCCTCCTCCCGCTTCAGCTTGGCCAACTGGGGCCATTCAAGGCTCCCCTTGTTAGTCCTAGACTTTGGAGCTGTGTCCATCTGTGGAAAGCACACACTGGTCTCAGTCTTAGTCCTTGCCGTAAGAATGGTCCAGAGTCACCCCGAGGTGGATGGCCAGTTTCTGTTGATCCACAGAAACTCTCCCATATACACATTAAGGCCAGGACACTTTCCCCCGGGAAAGGGAGACCTAGAGCCAGGAAGGGCCATGAGGTGGTAAGGAGGGACCTTTGGGGGGCTCAGGAGTCACAGCCACTAGTGTCCACTCTGCCATTTGTACACCTGTCCATCTGTCTACCAAAGGGCTTGTCTTCTGGGTTGAGGGGCCGGCAGTGCACCTCTTTGCTTCTCTGTCCTATCTTTGACCTCAGACGAGGCTTGTGGGCAGGTTGGTGATGCACAGGGAGTGAGAGGTAGAGGTGGGGGCCACTCCCCCTGGCCCAGCCAGGACCCTGCAGGAACCTACTGGACCTACAAATAGGCCAGATTCTCAAGAGCAAAGACTGCAGGGATCTTCACCCACAAAATTGAGCGCAACAGCCCCACAGCCTCCATAATGAGCACTCTGCCCCTCCATGCCCCCACCCTAAAGGGTGGAGTTTGGTCCCGATGAATGGATGGAGGGCCCAAGCGCAGTTACCAACAGACAAGCCTATTGACCTTCCTGGGAGAGGGGCTTCTCATTCACCAGTGCTGCCCAGAACTCACACCCAGAGTGCCAGCCCTCCTCTTTTCTCAGTGTCTCAGCTCCCCCACAGGGACCACCACCTCGCTGCCACCATCCCCCGCCTGCCCCGATGCTGCTGTTCTCTGGCCAGGACTGCGTCTGTGGGCAAGGATTCGGTGTCAGGTCTCTGCAGTCCCTGGGGTGGGTTTCCTACTACTGGGGGGAAGGACCCTAGGAAAGGGCAAGCTGGCTCAAAGGACATTGCTTTCTGAAGGAGAGAGAAACCACCCCACTCAGAGCCTCAGCCTGGGGCCCAGTCCCAGGGCACTGGCCTCCTGCCCTCCTGTGCCCCCACTTGTCCCTGAGGTGGACCCAGTAGGAAGAAGTGACTTTGTGCTGGAAAACTCACCTCCAGGAGAAGGGAGCCCCTAATGCTGTGCTCTGGCCAGTGTCTCCCGGGAGCAGGACCCCACAGACATGACCAGCAAGGACTTGAGTCACCAAGAAAGCTACCCCTGGGCAGCCCCAGATGCCTCAGCAGGAATTCAGAGTGCCCATGAATATCTCCTATATACCCCACTTTGACTGCACATCCCCATGGGCCAGACACCCATAGATCACATACACACTCATGAGCCCCATGTCTGCCTGCACCGCCCCCCACAGACTACACCCCATGGGCCTCCACTTCACAGGCTACACATCCCACAGCCACGCACTTCTCTTCTCAACCCTGCAGACACTGCCCCTCCCTCCTCCACACACATGGTGCCTGCCTGCCTACTGGTCACTTGGGACCTTTGCAACTCCAAGGGCCAATTACTCACCATCCTTAAAGGCACAGGATGACATGGGGATGTCTAGTGGAGAATACGGGTAATGACAAGTCCAAGGGGCCAACCCCTGGGAGGGCAAGTCCAGTTCACAGACATGGCTAACCAAGGCATACACATGGGGAGGCCAGTGTGTGCTCCTGGTCAAGAACCCAAACCCAGCACTTGGGCAGGAGGAACAGAGGGACCTGTGTCTAGAGAGAAGCCCATCTATGGTGACTGACAGCTAGTGCTGGGCTGATGGTCAGGCTTCCCCTTGGCACATGACTGAATCCTTTCTTCACTTTCAAAGGGTGTTTACAACACTGAACAATCAGCAACACACACCAGTCAAGTGCAAGGTCAGCAGAGAAGAGGCAGCCCTGACCGGCCCAGGGTCACCACAGCAGGCGGGCATGACGGAGGGCCAGGCAGGGGTTTCTTCTAACAGGAGCATAGGGGCCCTGCGAGTGGGAGCCAACATGATGATATTACAGCCGTGATCACCACCTCCACTACCTTCAAAACCAATTACCACTATCACCACTTCCATCTCTCCACTGCCTCCTCCACCTCTACCACCTCCTCCACCAACCACCTCCACCTCTACCACCTCCACCACCTCCTCCACCACCACCACCTCCTCCTCCATCACCTCCACCTCCTTTACCACCTCCACTACCTTCAAAACCAATTACCACTATCACCACTTCCATCTCTTCCACTGCCTCCTCCACCTCTACCACCTCCTCCACCAACCACCTCCACCACCACCCCCTCCACATCCACAACCACCACTTCCACCTCCACCATCACCTCCTCCACCTCCACCACTACCTCTACCACCTCC